TGAAGTGTGGACAGTCAACTGTAATTCCATTTGTAGCTCACAGTAGATCATTAGGACTTGGAGGCTCTCCACCTGGAAGCAGCCCAAGTCCTCCTCTCTGTCTCGCCTCTGAACTATGTCAGAACTGTGCATTTCAGGAACAGAGACCAGTAAAGCAAAGGTCTTCTGCACTGTAATCTTACTTCATTGATTCAGATATCCAGCCACCACCTTAGGGAAGCAAATTAGTTAGTTCTAAATCAGATTGCCTTGTTGTTGGAATATTACAGCTGTAAAGCAACTCTCCTTCCTTTTCCACATGTGACTCTGCTTCAAGTAAACTGTTTGCATAAACATTTTTTTTTCTTTGCATGCCCTGCCTCAGCATTTTAGCACTATCCACATGAATGAACAATGAAAACCCCTAATGCATGAAGAGAAGGTCAGATTTATTGGGAAGTATCCAAGTTGATACTGGTGTGATGTAAATTTGGTTGTGCACTAGCATAAGTTACCTCTAGTGCAATACCCATGGCACTGGCTGGTGTGATAGTTTCCCTGGAAAAGCTGTTGTGCTACCTAATGCTATTGCAGAAAGCATTCCTTTGCTGATGCAATTTAATTCACGTCAGCATTGTTGCCAAGTTGGATACTACCCAATGTTGGGGTGATAAGAAGACTCTATGTCTACCTCTTTGGACAACGACTTCATGTGTGCTGCGTGCATTATATTATATCCCATGCAGTCAGATCCAATGCAGTCTTTTCTTAGAAGTACACCCCAGGATATTGGGCATTTTGTTTTACATACAATTAGAAACCCACAAAATCACTTAGATCAATTATCAGTGTGACTGGCTTAAATAATTTTAATAGAACTTAAGGGTAACTGACTTGACCTGGAACTGAATCAGTACTGATATATGTAGCGTAGCCTTTCCCAGTCTGGTGCCCCCCAAACCCAGAATTCCTGATCTTGGGCCAAGCTGGATGGGGCTGATGGGAATCAAAAGCCCAAAACACCTGGATATTATTCATTTGGAAAAGGCTGATGTAGGGGCACCTCTCTGTACCATTTCTGGCCACAACTTCTGCCAATGCCCTGTACTATAGCCAAGGTTGCAAGAATTTGCTGTGGATCAGATCTTGAGCATGGGTCAAGTCAGGCCAGCAAGATGGGACGGGATTAGCACCCCAAAGAGCTCTAGGTGAATCTGGGGCTGGAACTCATACAGGGTTATCTGCATGTTGTTCCAACAAAGAGTAGACCAAGACAGAACTTCAGGGAAGAATTTGCTGTTTTGGTGTGATTGGCTCCATCTCTGTACAGACTGAGGCATTGTCTCTAAAAGGAAACTGGTCTCTTTTAGTTGAATCTAAGTGTGATAACATGGGAGTGGCCACAGCATGGACCTGTCTTCATGGTCAGAACCCTGAGCCCAAAGATGGCAAGGCAGGAAGCTGACCCCAGGGATTATTCTGAAAAACTAAGTCTTGGAATGATGGAAGCCACAAGATGCCTTTCCATGACCAAGCCATCTTCCTGAGCCTTTAGAGACTCCATGGTGGAGGAGTTGGGATCTTCTGAAGACAAGGGGTCAGGATCCTCCAATGCTAAGGATTCAGGGTCCTGTCCATGACTCTTTTTGCAACTGCTTCCTCAAAAGGAAAACAAACCAACAAAACAAGTAGATGGAGGAACTAGCAAACTGACATGTTAGTCTTCAACCCAATAGTCCTCAGGGTTGTTCACATTACTCAGAAAATGTGAAGGTACACTATAATTGATATTGCATTTCAGAGTGTTCAAAACACCATATATCTCTCCTTTCAGGTTCAGACAGCACAATGCAGAAAGAAACCCCCAGACAAGTATTCATTAAAAAGAAAAGTGGTGGGATGGCAAGGAGGAAAGGGTACAGTTTTTCTGTGTGAAATCCTTCCCTTTCCCCCTTGTCAGCTTCCTGAGATGGATACGCATGTCCAGAATTATGCATATATGGTGGGGGGAGAAGAAGCTTGAGAAAGAATTTTGAGGAAAGAATGCTTTCCACTGGGGCTTCATTACATGCATTTGTGTGTAGTTTGCCTGTCAGCAAACAGTATAACCATCATATGAGGCAGGTCAGTGTTATTATCTCCTGCATTTTGGATTAGCTGATGCTGAGAGCTAATAGCTTGCTTGAGGCCACCTGGTGAATTTATGACCAAGGAGAGATGTCTACTGATGTTGAAAACTTTTTGGAGTCATTGCCTACTTTTCCAAGCCAGCTTTCTTAGAGCTAGTGATGTGGATGAAGGAGCGCCCTGCAGAATATGGTGAAGTATAGAAGGTCCCATGCTGAATCCCCAATGTCTCCAACTGAGACAGCTTGGACAGCATGGCCATGAAGGACTTCTGGAGAGCCCACTGCTTATTAGAGTGGACTAGCCTTTCACACTACTCCAGTCTAGCTGGACTGAATTAAAGCTCCTCACCTTGACATCAGTGGCCTGGTCCAGAGAAGGCACTTCATTTCAGATTTCAGGTTACTTAGGGAGAAATTACACTCCCTTTATCTGTGCCCATGTTGGTCCTTTGAATGGATTCCATAGGTGTTCAAAGTTGCTTGGGCAAGGAACTCATTAATTCTTCTCCCTAAGCTGAGAACAAAATGAACTAATTAGTTAATTAAACAAAAGACAATTCCTTGTGCTATGGATTTTATCTAGTTCTTGCCTCCCACTATTTCAGAGTTTGTCAGTAGGCACACAAGTTCTGCCCCCTCACTTTCTGGAAGATGGTTGGAGCGAAGCTGTTTTAGCAGTGCAAACAGTACTATTCTCATTTCAGAAGCAGCTCTTATCAAGCACAAACTTGGGGAAGGTGGATTCAAGGCAGTGATCTTTGCTGCTCTTCCTAACAGGTGAAGATCATAAGGCCTTTGCATAGGCTGAAAAAACTAGCCTGTTTTTTGGTCACTGGGAAAGTTCATTACGTGATCTGTTGAACCTTAATAACCTCCTTGCTCTTCTTCTGGTAGAACCCATACCATGCACTGCCCTATATGCCAGCTGGCTTAGGTATTGGGAGTTGCTGTTCAACACAGCTGGACAACATCAAGTTGAGGGAGGATGGATTAGACAAGACTGAGATGGATGGTTCAACAGTATGGATCACTTTGAGGCAATGCCATGTCTTAGACACTTTGTGTCTTGTTTGCAAGGCCAGCTCCAGGTCTGGGGGGGGGGGTCCTCTGGTGGAACCCCATGTCATCAGATCTTCTACTCTTCCTACTTATTTCCTCTGATAGGTATGATGGCCACTTCTGAAACACTAGGAAAAAGAGCATGCATTACTATGTAAAAAGGCAAAGACACAATTTTGCATGAAATGTACATACATTTGTTTATATGTTTAGCTGAAAATTTAGAAATTAATGTTCTAACTTAAATTGAAATACATCTGTTATGGTTGATCTGGAGTGGTCCACACAGCCAGACCATAATGATGCCCTGTTACCTGGGTCCAAGAGACAGAAACTGTCCTTTTGCAATCAGCTGAACAAGTTGAATATAACTTCTGCCTGCTCATTTGGTTGTCTAACCCTTAAAATAAATACTAGTTGTGCTGGTAAATAATGTCTGAACAAATAATGTCTGTTCTGTCTTGAACTCAATTTTGCTTTGCCTTTTCCCTGGCCCTTGTTCTTTTCTGACCTTGACAAGCTTTTCTCCTTGGCACATGTGTGTGCAAAAGACTCATGATTCTCATAGTTCCTGACTGAACCACAGCTTGAACCTAAGCTTTCTGAACACAACTCTTAATGCGCCAGCCAACTAAACATTGCCATTTTGGATAAGATTTAAAAAAAACCAACTTCCATAACACTAGACACACAGACACACACAATCCCTATGTGCTTGTATGTAACAGAACATGTTGCCATTACTGAAAATAATTCATTTTCATTTATTTTATCCTTTTTTCTTTAATAACTTTGTTTTCAGTTTTGTAATGCACAATAAAACATATTTTAAAAAAAGCCAGCCGTTGGATCACATTCTCTTTCAACAGCCTCTACAGCTTTGGGCTTTTGCGTGAGAACTATGGTATCTCTCAGAGTGGAGTGTAGAAGTGGCATTGTGCATGTGAGTCTTTGAATTGGACGTTGAGTTTTCCACATGGTCAAAGATTATCTGACTGCAGCAGGATAGAAAGGTTTTACAAATGACAGTGTTTTGAAAAAGGCAGCTGATAGAAGAATGTGTTTTGCCAGTCACGTTCACAGAATTATCTATATACCTCCCAGTCTGAAAAACAAATAATAAACCTAAGGCCAGTGCTTTGAAGATAGTGGGGAAAAATAAATGCGGGAGCATCTGCAAGTAATCCCTTCTAGCTGCAAGAAAAAACAGAGAGATTAATAAAAATAACACTGTTGTGCTGATACTTGTGTGTAATGGGAGTACTTTGGAAAATATTTTGCAACAGAGAAAAAGAAACTCACTAAGCAGAGTGACATTTGGCACAGAATGGAGAATTTGGTAAGGCCAACAGCTACTCAATGGCATGGGGCACACCTTGCTTTCCCCTTACATAAACTTCAGTCCTGCTTGCTCCCTCTCCCTGTGTTTCATTGCTCCAAACCAGAAGGTTTAGCCCCAAATGTCAAAGTGATGGCACCAAAATAAAGTGAGAGAGATGTTGTCAAGACTTTTCAGTTGACAGGGAGCTGCTTTGACCAGCACATTACAACTCCTGGGAGAAACCCAACAACATCACATATTGTGATATTCAGCCTAAGCTGCTTCACTTAGTTGAGGTTAGGATAAAATGGAGAGGAAAGGCCATGTAAGCTGCCTTGGATTCCTTTTAAGACCAAAAAACAAAAATGAAAAAGAACAAAGGTGAGGTATAAATGTAATAATATGTTTTATTTTTATTTATTATTAGATTTATACCCCTCCTTTTTTCTTACACAGAACTCAAAGCAGCTTATGTAAGACTCCTCCTGCCTCTATCATTCCTATCGCCACAACAATAACCCTGTGAGGTAGGGTTGCATGGCTGAAGGGGGAATAGAAGCCAGGCCTCCTGCATCCCATTCTGACATTCTGATCTCTGCACCATGATGACCCCCTATTCATAATGTCAGTATGTAAATACAGTATATCTCACCATATTGTGGAAGACTGTGACCAGATAACGTGGGTGACATGCTCTGTCCAGGGACAACTGATGGCTAACTTCAAGGCCCACTTTTAACGTCTGATATTTCTTTCTCTTTATACTGGATTTGGACAGGAGTGTACTTTGGATAGAGGGTCCATTCAGAACAGTAGACCATCCGGTGCAAGGACACATGGCCACCCTATCTTCTATCACAAACATATTTTCTCTGAAGCAAATCCTACTGATCTTGGTGACTCGACTTGCAAGTAAGCAGGCCAAGGTTTGCAGCCTTATTTTAATTTACTGTTTACAGTGCAGTTGTCATTTGTAGAGTTCCCCTCAAGTAGCCACGGAGGTCCAGCAGTGGAGGGCTTAGAAGAAATCTATTTGGCTGTGAAGGCCCTTGTGCTCTCTGCCCACCTTCCCCTCTCCCAGTGCCTCCTGTGGCCACTGGCCATTTTGCAAAGGAAAAGCCATGGAGCCGAGAAGCACAAGACCTCCACTACCTGATACCTCACCTTCTGCTGTGCCCATTTCTGATGCTTCACAGAACATGTTTCAAGACCTTAGGAACCCCACAGTGGTTAAAACAATGGGATGCATTGACATTCTATGCCAGTCCAGTGACCTTTGTGGCCAGTTCTCGGTCTTGCTGCCTCTTGTGTGTTCAGCATGAATAAGCTGATCATGAACTGCTTTGCTTTGACTTGCTTTTCTTTCTTTCTCTTTCTCTTTCCATCTTTCTCTTTCCATCTATTTCCAAGACTTTCTCTTAACCATCAAATTTCATCGTGGGCAAGGTAGTCCATCATAATAAAAAAAAATGACCATCTACATTCATTAAGACTAATTTATGGCCCTGGTTAATGTGCTTAAAGCAAGTGCCAGTTCCCATCAGAACATCTCTTTGCCATCCAGAAGTGATGCAAACAGGCCTTGTGAATAAAAAGTGAATAAAAACCAACTAAATCTGTAGGGTTTATTTCACACACTAATTGCCTGCAGTCATCATTTATTTTATTACTTTGATTTATCACCGACTTAGGGAGTTAGGTAAATAATAATAGACTAACCACAAAAGCCTCTGTTCCACCTCTCTATTTGCTCCTAAAACTAAGGAGAATTGACTGTCTTACTCTACAGCTGGATGATATCTGGACTTGTGTTCCACCAAGGCTTTAAGGCAGGATTGCACGGCATTTTTGGCCCTGAGGGCCACATGTGACACTGGCTTGTGAGTTGGGGGAGGCACATGCCTGCACATGAGTGCAAAGGCACCCATGCAAGTATAAATTCAGACATAATATAATCTAGGATACAATACTGGCTGAGGAATGTTGAGAGCTCAAATGTATTTTACCCTTCTAAACATAGGATTGTACCTTTAATTTCGTAAAGTTAGTTATTTTAAAACAATGCCACCTAATTTCATTTCATTTACATTCATTCAAAGTCATTTGATTTACCTTATTGTGACATAATCTGTTTATTTCAACTTTATTACTGTAATTATTTCTCTTATTTTCTCTCCATCTCATCCATCCACATTGTTTCCCTTTGCAGACTTATTCCCTATAGATGATGTTCCTTGTTTTCTTCTCTGTGAGCGCAAACATCCAGGGTACTGATAGGAACACCAAAAGAACCGTCACAGTGCAGCTGCAAAGCATCTTCTAGAAGACACTCTGCTAACAGCACAAAGAGCCCAAAGTTCCCTTTTGGAGAAGTCCTAGAGCATCCTCCAAGAAGGGATGGCCTGCCATAGAGCTCAGCAGTGCAGGACAGTGCGTGTGTGTGTGTGTGTGGGGGGGGGGCTGGTGAGATTATCAGTGATGCGATTATCAGAGATTATCAGTGGTGTGGGGGCTGCAGTTTATGTACCCTGCCCTAGGAGGAGGACATTGCACAGTACAGCATGGCTTGGACACACAGTATGTTCCTAACCTTGGATGTAGATAGCATATGAGGCAACTGCTATTCCTTAAAAATGTTTATTTCAGTGGAGTTTAGAGATAGAGGTGGCCTCTTAGATATGATAAGCAGCCTTGTTTAGGATGTTATGAATGAGAACCAGAACCTTGAACTGCGTCCAGTAAAAACAACAGAGGAACCCAATGTAGACTGTCCTCTATTGGAGGACATCTTCTATATTAAGGGTTATCCTGTCCAATTTCAGTTTAAAGATCAAGATCTGTTGCCATACCAACTCTTATCCTTTATATAAGGGTAATCAGTCTCTATCTATCATAGATATAGGCTGCTACATCTGATTACCTAGATCACCTCTGGCAAAATGTACTGTATTTCTAGTTAAATTATAACAACTATTTCTACACTTGCATGTATTCACATAAGTTAGGACATACAGATTTTTATACACGCACACCGACAGATGAGTGATACGTTTCTCCCATTTTTGGAGAGCTAAAAGTGGCTATTCTGCTATCAAATAGCATACAAGATGCTTTTAGTTACCTGTTGGAAAGATGGAGCTAGTTGTGCCAGAACTCCTAGAAACAGAAATGTACTGATAAGAGTAACTGAAGTACCATCGATTCCAATGCATGTATTTTGTGTGTGGCTAAAGCTGGGACCATTCCATTGTTTTCAGCACTCCTTTTAAGAACCCCCTTTGCTCCTCTGCAGGAGCCTTTCCCTTTCCTTCTTTGGTTGGAGTGCCTTGTGGTGACAGAAGCTTCCAGGTGCTTAAGGACAACACCACATGATCATAGACCAGCCGCAAAGTGACAACGGTTTCTCTATATGCCATGGCCTCTGTGCTCAGCTGCCTTGTGGGGCAGAATCCCCATTTTTTCCAGTAAATAAAGGGGCTAATTCCATTCTCTGTCAGGTATAATGATTTTGCTCTGTTCGTCCCTGAGTCACTGGTTTTGTATGTAAGTGAAGAAGTTGCAGGCGTTTCACCAAAGGAGCTGGTGGGAAGTACTTGTGGCTTTTAATCACCTTCACAGCTTTGTTTAAATATATGGTGGGCAGAACCCATTAATTCCTGCAGCCTGATAAACACACAGGAGCCTGCTCCTGGAGAGCTGGGAATGGGCTTTGTTTGGTCAGCTCCTATCCTTGGCATGTTACTAGTCCTAGCATAAGCACTTTGGACAGAACAAAAAACAGACCTTCCACCCTCCATATCTGTTGCTTCCATGCATTCAAAATTCATTTGGCACTTCTAGTCCTATGTTTATGAATCTGCCGTGTTATAGGAGCAGAGGCTAGAGATGACAAACAACATCATCTGTGAATCAGGTTGAATAAATATGGCTTTTAAAATTTGTGAATCTAATCCAATATGGGTCCTCTGACAAGGATTTGAATTTGTAGTCTCACATTTTGAATACTGATTAGGGTGGATAATTTGAACAATTCACCATGCATCATGTTGCTCATTTGCATTTTACTAATTTTCAGTTCATTAATTTGCCATAGTTAATGAAAAATGTCCATTGACTTGAGTGATTCAGGTCAGGTTTTCAGGTTGCACGCCAAGGGAACTTCTGGAATATTACTCTTTGTGAGTTTTGTATTTTTAAAAAAGAGGATAATGGAAAACTTAGAAACTGAACTGTGGATCCACAAAGGACCTTCATATCATCTGCTCTAACTCTTCACAAGAAATAGATTCTCCATACTAACACCTTTAGGAGTAGCGTTTGTTCTTCCTTTACTGATTAAGTAATTATTTATTGATTGCATTTATATCCTCCCTTTTCTCCAAGGAGTTCAAGACTGCTTCCAAGGTTATCCCTCCATTTCAACTCTGTGAGGGGCTTAGAGATAGTGTCCGGTCCAAGATCACTCGGTAAACTTTATAAGTGAGTAGGGATTCTCAGAGCAGTTTATGCATGGTTAACAAGTGACCAGAACAACTCTTGTTTGGAAAGTCAGAGAATGTAAAGCTTGCTTTCTCTAAATGCCGAATGAGGTGAAAAAGAGGAAGAGTCTGGCGAGGGCAGTTGAATGACTGATAGATCCACCTTCTAATCACAGGCCATTGTTTTTTCCTAGGTCTCTCCAATTACTGTGCTTAGTGGGAGGGCAAAGATGCAGCCACTCTTCCAACACTAACAAGTTTCACCAAGAAGGAAACAGGTTTTCAGTCATCATATCTCCAACCCCTGCACCTGGCTTCTGAAAATGTTTATGTTTTTGCCTGGATAAACATGCATCATATGTCCACAAATTACCCCTCCCCTCCCCCACAAAAAAACTCTGCCTGGGGGATAAAGGGGAAGCCAACCATGCCCTCCTTCCCAAATTTGATGACTCCCTTTCCACACAAACTACTTCACTTTTCCTGCTGAAACGTAGTATTCTCACTTAGGGCCACCTCTATGCTCTCTGTCATTCAGAAAATGGTCCACAAGAAAAATAAGGGGATTCGTTTTACTGTTTTTGGGGTGCCCCCTGAATGTCAAAGGCATAAAACCTCCCATACTTATTTCTCTCCTCTGCAGGGGAAACTAAACATTTCATCTACTTCTGCCAAGAACTAAATGTGCTACCAGCAGTTCCATATATCTGTGCGTTGCATCTATTGGTGGTGGTGGGGGGGGGGGATTTTTAGGTGTAATTCAGAACTATTATGGCTGCAAATTTCATCCAATCTGGACAAACAAACTAGCATGGGATTTGGGGATTTCTTGTGAAATTCAGTAGGATATATGAAGCTGCGGATTTGTGAATCTCAACTTGGATTTGGCACCTGTGTTGAATCTGTCAGTTTCTGGATCAGTCTAAAAAGAATGGAGCCATTTTCTGAATTGCTCAGGTCACAAGCTGATTCTTGCGACCAGTGCATATGTGGTCTTACAGAAATGAAATAATAATAATATCTTCACAGAACAACTGAAAAGGCTATTGTATGTGCCTGTCCAATTACTGTAGAACTCCTTCCACTTGGAGCTTAGGTAAAACATAATATATTGATTTGGAGGATCTTCTTTTTAGTATAATATGAATAGGTTTCTCCTTTCTTATCTGTTTCATCTCACTTTTATTTCATATTTTAGAAGTGCATGTTTTGAAACTTAACCTGCCACTAACTCTCACCTTTGTGGAGGAGGAGGGCTGCAGGTTTATATAAATACATGCCCTTGAATAACAGTTTAAAATAGTGTTCCAGTATCTGTTATGAGCCATGCGCATTCAGTAATATCAGGAATTGGAGTCCATTTTGTGAACAAGTTGTTCTTGCTACAGTTTGGCTGTATACCATCTGCAGAAAGAAGCAAAGGTTTAATTCAGCCAAAAATACACTATTTATCCTTCCGTGAACAGTGGGAAGACTCATTTAGATTCAAAATGATTTCTTAACTTTATATTCACATCTCCTTAACACATCAAAACATCTGTCTGGTTCATGCAACTGGTCCGTCATTTAGAGTTCTGTTAACCATTTTTACTTTAGCACAATTAAGAACACACATGAAAATAGTAGCTTTGCCATATCAGGGAAAAGGCTGTAAGAACCACCATGAGAGAACACATAATTGTTTGGTATTATTTCAATGGCTGATTTGTCTCCGAACCCTAAAAAAATGCATCTGACAGCATTTTGACTTTTGGGGTTTCATTTCATTCTTGGCTCACTTTCTGGATTGTGCGTAGATCAATGATATTCATTTTGGTATATTTCAGCTGATGTGTCTCAAAATGCATTCTGAAAACATTGCAACCGCTGGATCAGTTGTCCATTAGAAATATTTGTTGGGCTCATTACAAATTTTTCATATGCCTGCCCAATCCTTTGTGATGGTGAATTGCCCACAATAAAGATGCGCATCACCAAAACAGAAGACTAGAAAAGGTACTGACTTGCATAATTATTGTATATCTTATTTATATATGCATATACAAATTTAGAAATAATTGTTACAATTTTCATAAAAATGAAGTATGTAGTGTGGAAGACTGTTCAGGTCACTTTTGTGCCTATCTGCTTTTGTAGTCCCAGTAGACTTGCAATGGTGAAGGTGTGTTTTGCCATGCTGGCATCCTCATTAGCTCACCCCCCCCCCAAATCTGACGAATTCAGCTCACTGCTGATCTAACTTAACAACAGCTGCAGTCCTTTAATTTGGAGGCGTGGTGTGCACAGGAGGGGGGAGACTGTCTTGGGACCTGCACTCTGGCCTTATTTGCCTTAGTGAGTAGTTATGGCACCTCTTCCCACCAGTTGTTTTTGATTCTTCCTACCAGTGGAAGGAAATTCCAGAAAAAACTAGTGAAATCAGAAATTTGCAGACCTCGAGACAGCTGATTCTGTAAGTTTTACAGTTCTCTGCACAAGTGTATACAGTCTCTCTCCCCCCACTGCCATCACTTCCCCAGCAGATGTGCAGACCAGCAGCTTACTGTTCAAAATGCTGCATGTTCCATTCTTACTTCTGAGTGGCTCTAGCAAACTTGACAAAATTTGGATGGCCCATCCAGATGCATAAATGAGAAGGGTGAGTACCCAGAGAACGGCCTTCTTTGCATGGTGCCTCGACTAAGGAATATGCTCTCCAGAGAGGTTCGCCTGGTGCTGACGTTATATTCTTTTTTTTTATGTAAAAATAAACCTTTTTATTTTCCCCTTATTTTAATGTTTGCTTGATTTTAACTGGGTTTTTAAGTGTATCAATTGTCAGATGCTGTGGTGTTTGTTGTATTCTATGCATTTTTTGTAAGCTGGTTGGAAAAACTTTTAATAATAAATAAATAAATATACATCAGCATCCTAGCTCATAATCTTCAGTTTAGCCTCATTTTTAATCATGATAATGAGCTTGTAGCCTCAGTCAGACTCCACTAAGTATGTCTGTGCCTGCACCCCTCCACAGTGGTGCCTTGAATGCACATGACATCCAGAAACTGTGCAGAGTCAACATATATCCTTGTGTTGGAAACTCATTAATCTAATCTAATTGTATTTTTTAACTACTGGAATGGTATTTCATTCATAGGTTTTCGGTCTGCTTTCAGGATGTTCTGGATGCCATAATAAATCCTTCAGTTTCTGGGAAGAGATCTTTTATTGGGAGGCCTTTTGTTATCTAGTGCATATTAATTACACAATTCTTGGGCAAGATGAATAATGCCATTTATTTTGTTCAGAATCTAAGAATCAATTTTATTTGGTTCTTCAATCAATCCTATTTAATCTAAAGCCATTACCCACAAATACCTTTTGTTGCCAGTCTGCTGCAAGTCCACCCCCAGTAACCGGAGACAATTCTCATTCATTGTTTGAAAATGCCTTCTACTGATTTACCCCCACATTGTTCTCGGGGCACATTGCTTTGGTATTAAACAAACTTTCATTTTGCCACTGCACCACGTCTGACTATAAAACAACATCCCTTCATAGGTTAGGAAAAGAGGCTGTTGTGATGTTAGGCAGCTCATGCAGGGGACATTGTGGGTCCCTGTGCCCCAAGTGATGACAAGAATAGCTGCTCTGCAATGCAGATCACGTAGCAAGTTGTGTAACTAATGAAAAGCCATGCTCTATGGATGCAATCTGCTTGAAGAAATAATTTCCACAATTCACTGAAGAGCTGATCTTCGGAGAGCTCCAGCTTTGCTTACATTTATCGTTTGCATACTCTGACATCTTTCCATTTGGTTATAAAGCTCTACTTCATTTTCCCTTGTATTTTCATTTCCCCGTCCATCTACATGGGAACTGCATAAAGAATATTTCAATAGAAACATGCATGCATGTGCACACACACTGTTGTTGTTTTGTTTTCAGCATAACTAACGATAAGTGACAAGAGCCAAAATCTGTCTGATAATTTAATTCCCATTTCTGAATTATGATTCTGTATGCATC